ATTTTAAGTTAGCCTTTAATTTAATTTACTTGCACCATAGACAAATTATGCCGACTTCGCAAAATCGGACTTAATAATTTTTCGCGATGGCAACATTGCGAAATCCTCAGTAAGAAGTGTGACAAAAGTTGACAAATAGTCTTTAGTATTTTGTGGTTTTTCGGTGTTTGGGTGTTTCTGATTGAGAGTTTGAGCAATGGAAGAACCAAATTCTAAAAAGCAGAGGGGTGCGAATTTTACATTAGCATAAAAGGAGGCCTTAATTATTAATATAGTGGCAAGACTTAAAAATATTATTGAAAATAAAAAAAACTGATGCTCTATCCATTCATGAAAAAAACGAGGCCTGGGAGAAGGTATGCAGGAATTTCAATGCTGCTTCACCAGGCATGAGAGAGAGAGTTTGGATTCTTTGAAACAGTATTATAAAAATCAAAAAGAGGATCTAGAGAAAAAAAAATGATATATGAGAAATTTCTAGGTTATTACGGGTTAATTTTTTTGTTAGAATCCACCTTAGGGCCGGTTTCTCAATAGCGAGTCACCCCCGGGTTAAGCATACCTCCAGGGTAAACATAGCAACTCGACACGCTTACCCTGGAGTTAAAAACAGGTGACTCGCTATTGAGAAATCGGCCCAATGGGTTCTAACAAAAAATTTAACTTAACTTAACTTAACCTAACCTAACCTAACTTAAGACTCAATTTAAATTTATTTTTTATCGTTCATAAAAATCTACATTAATTTAAGGAAAACATAAAAGTTGGCGAACTTCTTGTTAGGTTATATCTTAAGTTAAGTGAAGCTGTATGAACGCCGTCGTTAGCCTGCATATTCCGAACTTCTTAGGTTAGGTTAGTTTAAATGTTAAGTTAGATTCAATTTTCTGTTAGAACCCACCTTTATATTATGTTAAGTCGAATTTAAGGCCTGGATTTTGGCGACTTAAGAAAATTTAATTTAAGGCTACTTTAAGTCTAGCTCGACTGCTGGTGCAACTAAAATTTAGAGTTAAGTCTCGGCTTAAAGATAAGTCCGACTTAACTTAGTCTTAAAGTGTTGGTGCAAGTGGCCATTAAGGTTTCAAAAGAGAAGCTGCTTAATGAATTCAGGATTATTGTTGCTATTTCTTGCTATTTCTACCCATCGCAATTACCTAGAAGAAAGACTCTTTACTGTAACATGTTCCATCTCTTTTCATTTTCATTATAAAGTTGTATTTTTGCCATTTCAGAATCAGCAAAGTAATAATTCATAATAATCTAAAAATATCCACAAAGGTCAAAATAGTACCAGTGCTGCCATCTATCCATCGTGAGCGTAAAATGCAAATATCTATTATTCATTTACCAGTGCTGCCATCTAGTGCCGGATGAGTTTATTTTTTAAATTGTGATAGTTTTCCTTAACTATCTTTATTTCTCATTTTGACAGACATTTGTATTTTCATTTGAAGAAATTATATTTATCTCACTTTTGGCAAATGGATATAGTTCTGTCTTTCTCTAACCTCTGATCCTGAAATAATAATTTTTTGGCCTAATGACCTAATTAATTAGCAGTTTTTTGTTTTTGACATAACCTTAATTTAAATTATTATAATTTGTAAACAATTAAAATAATGCTAGTGGATTTTTATCTATTCTCTTCTATTCCACGTAGTTCTCCATTGTGAAGTGATTGTAAAGTGAATATGATCTTTTGGGGATACTCTTCTGATTGGTTGAACTGGTTAAAACGCAGTTAAGTATAAAAAACACAGGATTGTTTTCCTGTGGGGTTTGGTTTCCAAAACGTTCTTTTTTCCCGGCAGTAGTCCAGCAGGATGATTTTATTTTTATAATTTTATCTTCGCATTTTTAGATTCTCCCTTATAGGTTTTTCGATAAAGTTTACCATCAGTGCATATTATCATTACTAAATTTTTACCTGATAAATCTTATCTTATCTATTCTTGAAATATAAATATTATATTTAAATTTTTTATCCAATTGTGGGCTTCCATTTTGGTGTGAGTGCCGATTGGTTGTTCCACGTTTTTTTTTTTTTTTTTTGAGGTAAGTCAATTTAGTTTTTTTGGCTAATAAATAGGTACCGCTGCTCTGGTTTTCAGAATCAGTTGTTAATGTGGGAATATTGGACCATTTGCTCTAAATAGAGTAGGTGATAATCAAATTTGTGTGTTCATCCCTATCAGCTCTTTATTGAATCCAGGCAGAGACCTGTATAGCCATTTTCTGTTTAACTCCGTTAATTATTATCTCAACTAAAGGTTGTAATTTTTTCAATAGAAATCCAGACAGGTCAAACATTCAAAAAAAATTTTTAATTAAAACATCTCAAGAATTTTGACATATTCTGGATTTCATTGATTTCGCCGTCAGGTTTATCTTGTAGTATCTATAGTAGCTAGCTTAATTTAAAATGAAAATTTTGTCCATTTGGGGGAGAATCTAAAGATTTAATTTCTTATTGCTTTTATCTTATTTTGTTTATATTTTTGCCTGCTATCGCTGCTGCCGGAAAAGCAGCACTCTGCTCAATCTGTACGGAGCATTTTAATTTAATCTATTTTTATGATTATTTTTCAATTATTTAATTGTTTTTTTTTTATATCAAAATATATTTTTTTCAATTTGCAATAACGGTTCATACCTGATTCTGTTGGAAGGGAGTGTCTGTACAACAATAGTTTTATATCAAATTTAAATTTAAATTTTCTTTGCAAGACACTCACTTTTTGACAGAATTCAGGGATTTAATATTTCAAATATTGGTGAACCTGATATTGCCTTATTCTTTTCTGGGTACCTACTCGGCATAAAGATTACTGGAGTAACATCACCCCAGCAATCTATCCTTTTCCTGGATACAGGAAACAACACGAAGAGCTCCAGTTCACGAAAGTGAAACCCCAACACCCATTGAAGAGCTCCGGATTGGAAAGGTACATTGTGTCAGATTCACCAGAACAACCAAGCTGTCAACTGTAAAATTTTACAGAAAGTAACATTGACTGTTACTACATGTTTTAAAGAAAGTGGCATTATCACTGTATTGTAAACACAGAACTTGTTAAATATCAAATAAAATTATTGTTTGTTGGATTTTGAGTGGTTTCAATTGCACCTAAAGGGGCTACACGTTATCTTATTTTTTTGAATTCCACGACCCTAGGTTCTCTTATCTTAAAGTTCGTATAGCCGAGATTTATTTGTAGCAACAGGTTCATCGACAGTCAATACTTATGAATTCGATTTAAAATAAAATACGTGCGCACCCTCAATACTCTTATCCAAGAAGGCAAACAAATGGTTTGGATTGATGAGACCAACTGCAACCTTTCTTGTCGAAGAACCCGAAGAAGATATAGGACTGGTGCAAGGGCAGTACCAACATTGCCATCTTCAAAAGGAACAAATGTTCATCTCATTGGTGGAATATCTGCTGCAGGTGTATAGTATCAATTGAACTTCGGCGAGGGTCATTTACAGCAGAAACAGCTATTGTTTGGGTTAGACAATTGTCTGCGAAAATGTGCCGTGTCATTCCCAGCTTGGTCAAAAATTAAATAATTTGAAGAAGTCCACCTTGGCAGTGCACGAGTAGCCGCATCTGGTATTATTGAACAAAGATTAGTCTATCTGGAGGAAATTATTGACCAAGCCCAAAAAACCATAGTCGGAGGAGATTGCGTCTGTGCAGTTCAACATTTCACTACCTTTCATGCCATCGCGATAACCTTAGAAGACATGTTAGTTGGAAAATAGCATTGTTTTTTTTTTAATTATAGGTATAGGTTACTGGTTAGATTATTTTCCTATTATAAGAGCCTTACTTCTGTACATAGAGTTGAACAAATATTATGAATTATGAATATACTAGCAGGTTTCTTTAAAATTTCCCTCTTATGCCAAATTTGCGAAAAACGATGTCCATCTTTGAAAGTATTTATACATACTTACATGTAATCTAAAGTTCATTTCATAGTTGCTTAAATTCAAATAATTGTTTCTGTGTATTCGGTGTTTCTAAAATACAGTTGCTTCAATCTAAAATACCTATACATTTTCCTGAAATACAAATGTTTATTCTAAAATACAAATGAGAATTTTGTCAAAACTGGTATTCCAACAATAAATTGACATGCTTTGATTGTTGATTTGAACCAATCAGATTGTAATTACGCGATAATTTGCACTAGTGCAAATTATCAGATAATTGCATACTAACTGGTGCGAAAACTGGTGTTTTGACATTTTTTGACAAAAAATTTTAATTTTTGATTTATGAAATTCTCTCATTAAATACAACTCGTGCAATGGAAATATATTTATAATTTTCGACAAATTTGCACTCATGCGTTTTTAACTGAAAAAGGCACTCGTGCACTACGTGCACTCGTGTCAACTAAAAATGCATTCGGACAAATTTCCCAAAAATTATCAATAATTTCCATTGCACTAGTTATATTTCTATTGATAATTTTTTTAATCAAATTGAAGCGTAGGTACTAATAAATGCTGTCAATAGTTACTGGCCGTAATGATCTAATAGCCAAAATAGACAATGTGTTTGAAGTATAATGGGAAATTTCGGCTGAAGGATCTTGGCGCCATAATATTCTTCAAAGATATCTTTGATTCACGTTGATTTGTCTATACATTCTTGTTATATCGGGCTTCATAACAAAATTAGGTTTCCGAAATCTTGATAGTACCAAACACAATTCAATGATTTATTTTGGTGATTGTAGAGCTTTACAATAAAACTAATAATATAAACTTGAAAATTTCCTAATACCCAACTGCAAAGGCTGGTAATTATACGCCCATTTTCGAAAATTAGAGAGCTTAAGAAAAGGTACCAAGTTGTGTTTCAAAAAATTATAATGAAATTTGATATTTAAGGTTAAGCCTGTAAAAGTGCCAACGAGCGGCATTATCCTAATTATTTTTTTTAAGCCAACCCCCAGTTAAATTAATTTATGTAAACTTACACTCTGCAGTCGATTCCCTTTAAGGCTTAATTTCATTAACTTCAGGCCGTAAAAAGAATAACTCGGGATCTCGGTAATCTCATTGTCTTCCAGATCCAGGGCAATAAGTTTATTAAGACCCTTGAAAGCTTTTTGTGGAATTTCTTTCAACCGAGCAGATACTAGACTGAAACTTTCCAGGTGCGGCTTCAGTGGGCGCAAAGATTCGTCATGCAATTCTTCAATGTTGGACTGAGAAATCTGAATGTGACGTATTGTGGCTGATTCCGGAAACACATTTTTTGGTAGTTTTGTCTAGAAACAAAAAAAAAAAACAATAATATAAGTATTAATAAATTTATATTTTCGAATAGTTACTCACCAATGACTTATCTGGTTCGTACACCGACAGGGACTGCACAGGCACTTTGACGACGTCAAACAGCAACTTCAAAGTTTGAGCAGTAGCGGCGGGACATTCCAGGTAGATTCCATTTTCAAAATCGTAACAGTGACAAAAGGGGTTCGCGGTCGGATCGGGGCACTGGGTGGTACCGACCCCCCCGATCGCACCCCACAAGGTCAGAACGCTGATAAGGGTCACCCAGAGCCGGCTCATTACGTGCTCGGTGGCTGGTTAGGTTTAATGGTTTGTGGCATGTTTTCTAAGTCTTGTCCAGTTGAGACACTAGACCTGGAAAAAAAAAGATTTTTCTTATAGCAAAAATAATGTTTTAGGCTCTTAGTGAATCGTCGTTGTTTTGTTTTGGAGGCTTTCAATATAACTTGGTTTGTATTTCGATAGATGCTTTTAACATTCTAGCTGTTGCGAATTTTCCAAAATTGTAATCTCCTTAAATATATATCGTCGACTCGTTAATCTAAATGAAAATCTTAAAATTAATATTTTAATTAAATCCAAGTTTTGCTGACATTTATTTGAATTCATTCATTCTATAATTTTCTTGGAATTTAATAAATTTTTACTAATATTCTGGAGTTTATTAGAAGCTTTCTACGATAATAACTCCTTCTAGCAAAGGAAAGTTTCTTTGAAAAATATATAATAATGGCTTTTTCTAGTCTCATTTAAATTAGATTTCACAAACAAAGTAGAATATTAAATTAATTTTATATAATTTTTCCTAATTTTTGCCTTCTTATTAAAGGACAAAGCCAATATTTAAGTTATCTGTAAGTTTAAGAGTTTCTTTAAAAGTATTATGTGTTGAGTTAATAAGATTCTTATTACTTGTATTATTTTGACACTAAAGTGAACGAATATTTTTATTTTCCAATAAGTAAAATAAAAAGTTTATTTTCTCAACTATAGCTACCTCAGTCAAAGCGGCAAGGTTATAAATATTTAAGGAAAATAATGCAGCATGTTTTCTCAAGAGCTGGATGCAGATAAAGTTTCGCTTTAAAGCACTTCGATTTGTGTTCTGGTCGGAAAGTAAATTGGTTGGCCTGTTTACTTTGATCCCGGACTCTTGTCCCATTATTTTCCCTCGTTTATCTTCACGCAAATCCAGTGGACAGCGATTGTTAATGATATATTTGAAGAACAGAGCACAAAAACATAAGAAGCCATAAATATTTATAATTTTTGATTCATATAAACAATTCAACTACTAGACAATTTCCACAACCTCAATAATTCAAGAAGATGCCGGAAACTGCCAACGAGCCATTTACAAACTCATTTTGTCGCAAGGGATTAAGGGACCTTCTCTTAGTACATAACACGCTAATCAAGTTGGGGCTCCTGGGGAATCTATACTAAGGCAAGATATTTGAATTTAGAACTTACATAAATAAAAATCTTGTTGCAATTAAAACACGTTAAATCAAATTCATACATTTTCATTATTATTATTTTTTAACCCCTATTTTTTTTTCAAATATCCTTGAAACATTTCACCCCTCCTACTTCAATTTTATATAGAGCTCATAAGAAATTTAAACATTGCATTCGGTTTAAGTGTCCATGGGATTTTTTTGTCCTCGTGGAACAAAAACCGAGAGCTCCTCTCGAGTGAATATCAGTATCCAGTTTTTTTTAATAAGAGCGAAAGATAAAAAGATGTTCCTCTTCAAATAAAATTGAGTGTCACTTCAGGACGTGTACATACTTTAGCCTATAGCATCAAACGAAAGATATACCTTTATAAAATCTTTAGGTACTAATGATTTTTCGATATCAGTTTTTTTTTATTTCCAAAATGTTAATAATGAATTTGTCTTCTCGATATCTGTATAAGAATCAATGCGTTTTTGTTTCCTTGGCACATTCAACAAAATAAAATATACCAAAACATTCAAATTTTCACGGTCAGCATTATTACCTTCTATATCTTCTATGAATAGAGAATCAGTTATAAATTAAATTTGGCAGAAATATACAGTGTGACAAAAAAAAAAACGCACCACCCACTAAAAGTGTATACTTTTTCAACAAATTTTCTACATATGTGTATGGTGTAAAAAATAACAATTGATTAAATAGAAATGAATAATAGAAGAAGAAGAAGAGTGAGGTTAGGTGCTCTTAAAATTTATTTAAGCATTTTTCTTAATTAAATTGTTATAAAACTGAAAATAAATTATATAATTCATTGCAGTGGAGTGTGCTAGGTGCATTGTACACACTGCAAAGTAAAATTTGTCGTCCCAGGCGGGTTTACTCGCAATATTAATTGAGGTTAGTTGTGCAGTGTTTACATTTCCACTATGGCCAACAATTTATGTTCAACTCTGGATCTGGGTGCTAATGAAAAGCAATCCATAGCCTGTGATAGCTGCAGGTCAAAGTCCCACTTACAAGAACGGTGCTCGGGTTATCAGCATCTGAAGTTAGAGCAGTTCAATTGCAGAAAAGAATACTGATGCATTTTTGCGAAGCTTGCAGAGAGGCTTTCAAAAGCGTACCACTTATGGTCAGAAAAATGACTGTAATGGAGAATGAGATAGCGGCTTTAAAGGAAAAGGTTCTTGCCTTAGAGAAAGGGAAAACAGTTATTAGCGAGGGTTCTACTGAACCCATGCTATATGAAATAAACCAAAGAATGATTCGATCCCAAAACTTAATGGTGTATAATGTGCCTGAGCTAAATTCACAATCATTGGAGGAGCGAATAGACTATGATAAAGCTAAGATCAGTGAAGTATTCAACAAGCTTGGTTTGCAGAATAATGTAGCCTTAAAGGTGGTGCGGGTGGGGCAAAGGGTTTTAAATAACACTAAAGCTAGACCTATAAAGGTCATATGCAATAGTCAGGAGACAGTTAAACTGGCTTTAAAGTCTGGAAATAAGCTACGCGGATCTACAGTAAGAATATCTAATGACCAGACTAAAATGCAACAGGATGCGTACACCAAAGCAAAATCATTACTTGAAAGTAGAAAGACAGCTGGCGAAGATAATCTTCTTATAAAGTATCGTAATAGCTTACCTGTTGTGGAAACGAAACAACCAAAACAACAAAAAAACCTACCCCATTAACTATTTATTTTCAAAATGTGGGAGGTCTACGGACCAAATTAGTGGATTTGTTGAAATCTGTAGCAAGTTGCGCCTATGACATAATAGTTTTGGTTGAAAGTAATTTAAATGATCACTTCAGTGATAGTGAAATTAAATTTGAAGAGTTTAGTGTCTATAGAAGTGATCGTAATTCTTTCACAAGCAAGAAGTTAAGTGGTGGAGGTGTTTTGATATTGATTAAAAAAAGTATTAAATCACTGTGCATCAAAATTGAGGAAAATCGAGTGGAGCAGATTTTTGTTCTGTGCGAGATTAATAAATTCAGGTTTATATTGGGTGGTGTATACATCCCTCCACAATCATCAAGGGATGTTTATGGCTGGCATTGTGAAGCGGTGGAGAATGTTTGGCAGCGGCATTCTGCAGGAAATGTCTATATCTTGGGCGATTATAACTTACCTAATGCTGCGTGGACTAATGATGAATTTGGAGCAATTGTGCAATGCCCTCAGGGCGACCCAGCCCTTCAAGTGGCTCAGGTGTTTGGTTATCTTAGACTTTTCCAAATGAATGGCATTCCAAATGATAAAAATGTATTTTTAGATTTAGTTTTTTCTAATAGTAAAGAGGTTGTTGTCACACATGCCTCTGAGCTGCTTTTAAATGACAGTCATCATCATATTGGGTATGAGTGTGTATTATCGGTGTCTAATACAAAAGAAAGTACCAATTTAACTCATGAAGAATTTTATTACGACTTTAGAAATGCAAACTATAGGGAACCTAATAATTATTTAGCTTCTATTAATTGGCAAGAATATTTAAATATAAGCAATGATGTAAATGCCATAATAAATATTTTTTATGAGATTTTGGCCACTGGTATTGCATATTTTGTCCCAGTAAAAAAATTTAAAACTTCTACATTTCCCAAATGGTTTTCTTCTGATCTTAGAAAATTGACTTGCCAGAAGAGACGTGCACACTCTTTTTACATTAGTAACCGCTCAGATGATAATTATGCAAAGTTTTCAGATTTGCGTGACAAGTGTAAGAGGCTCTCTAATATTTGTTTCTCTAATTACATGCGGGGTTTTGATGAGAGACTGAAAGTTGATCCAAAATCATTATGGAAATTTATCAATGATAAGCGGGGGGAGAGGGCTTCAAATGGGCAGGATGTAGCCAATTTATTTGGGAAATTTTTTCAGACTGTATATGTAGCTAACCAGAACTCTCCAGTACTAACTGATTTAACATTGGATAATAACGTAAGTAGCAATATTAAGTGCTCAGAAATAAGTAAGTCTGATATTTTCGATCAGATATGCAGTCTTCCCAATAAACTTACATCAGGGCCGGACGGAGTGCCTGATTTCCTCTTGAAAGAGTGTGTTTGCACTATAGTTTTACCATTGTATATCCTTTTTAATAGATCCTTGATTAGTGCTGTATTCCCGAATGAATGGAAAAAGAGCTATGTTGTTCCTATTTTTAAAAGTGGTCAAAGAGAAAATATTGAAAATTATCGTAGTGTTTGTATTCCATCCGCAATACCAAAGCTCTTTGACTGTCTTGTTGGCAAGCAACTGAGCTGGATGTGTAAAGGTTTATTTTTTTTGGAGCAGCATGGCTTTTGTCAAAATAAATCCACATTGACGAACTTGGTAGGTTACCAGACAAGCATTTTGCATCATATGGAGGGGCAGAAACAAGTAGACTCTATATATACAGACTTTGCTAAGGCCTTCGATAGGGTGGATCACCGGATACTCTTGCAGAAGTTAACCAAGATTGGTTTTCATTCTCATTTTGTTATGTGGATCCAGAGCTCACTGACTGATCGTATCCAACATGCTAAAGTAGGTTGTTATTTTTCTGAGTCAATCTCTGTTACATCGGGTGTCCCGCAGGGCGGCCACTGTTCCCCTCTTCTCTTTAATATTTTTGTTAATGATATAACTGATTGTTTTATAAACAGTGAGTGTGCAAAATTTGCAGATGATTTGAAATTTTGGAGAACGGTGGAGAGCATTGTGGACCAGTTGCTTCTGCAGGAGGATCTAGATCGCTTGTCCGTGTGGTGTGTAGAGAATAAGTTATCTCTGAATGTGGATAAATGTTGCTATATTAGTTTTTCAAGGAAAGTAAATAAAATTCAAACTAGTTACTTTATTAACAATCAGTCTTTGAAGTGTGTGTCTGG